TTATATATTCAAAGGAGGCATTCAATTTATGCAAGGCTGGTTTACATTTAATCCAGGGGCAAGTCTCAGTAACTGATGATAGGTCTGCTCAAGATTAATTAGCATCACTCAGATGAGCAGTGGCATTGTTACAAGCCTGCGGTGTAAAACAAGGGATATTTTATCCTTCCTATGTGAGCCATTATTTGCTTCAATATGACCCTTTTCAGGAAGGGAAAAGCTGCTTTTTTGTTTGGGTATCATTTTTTGAAAAGGGGTCAACACCACCTGTGTTATCTAACAATATCAAAGTAATCTCCACTTCCTTTTCTTTTGCCCCACTTAGCAACTGCATGTGTCACTGTTTAATTTTCAGCCAACCAGGGGAAAGACTCCAAGATCCCAGTTTGCTTCCTAAAAATCCTCATTCTTGTTAACAATTTACAATGATGTAAAACCCTATTTTGGTGAATGTGTAAATGTTTTCATTTTCCTCAAACAGCTTTGTGATATTGTGTCTAAAACTATAATGTGCGAACCTGGTCTCTAAATTCATTGATCAGTATCTTTTTCTTTCAATTTGAGGATACTTTTTCTGTGCTAATGAATATATCTGTTCTGCTATCAAACAGTTATGTTTCAGCAATGGGTGATTTTGTATTAGGATGGATCTAACCTTCCCCACTCCCCCCACCTCCTTATGTTTCAGCATATTTAAGTGTAGCTCACATTTAGGTATGCACATAGGTAACATCTTAGGAAATGCTGAATATTAAGCTTATCTGACAACAATGAAAATAACTGCTCGTTTTAGCCTGTCAGCCCACTTACTATCCCTACTTAAGTGTACACTTAAAATCTATTAATAAATTTTTAGTTTAAACTGAAATTCATTAGTGGGAACTAATTGAATTTCTAAGGATCTTGCAGCTAGGTGCTTGTGTAGCAAAGTGGATCACTCAATCCCATTAGGTGAGCATGAGGCACACCTGTACCAGTGCAATTGGACATCAAATGCACCGTTGTTTTGTGTTTCCTCGCTAGCCTGCTTAGGAGCCTATTGTCCTGAACGCACACTTGAACATAAGAGTACTTTCATCTCCTGGGTCAACAATATTCCACGGAAAAGGTATTACGCCACACTTTTCCTCAAACTCTTCTTCCTCATCCCAGTTTACTCTCCTTCAACAGGGGCTAGAACTTGTAGGGTGTGCTCTGTTCGGCAGGGCCCACCTGAGGACCCTTTACTGTGGTGAGTTCCTGGGGTTCCCTGGTCTGGCACGCTGCCCTTGGTAAGGCTGTGGGCCTGAAAGATGGATGGAGCCCACTTGGTTTGTCTGGGTGGTGGCAAAGCTGTCGCTGAGGTGGATCTGAGCACGGAAATGTGGTAATGGTGCTGCGGAGCATCCCTCAGCCTGCCTGGCTCCTCTTCCAGGAGAGGTAGGGGAAATACAGCCTGACTCACCCCTGAGGCTGGGTTTGCCTTTAGAAGCGGACGTTTTTGTTTTCAAGAGCTGTGTTTGTGCTCCGTGTCCATGTGCTGGCAGCAAGGGGGGCTGGAGGGGCGGCCTCTGAGAGGCCAGGGCTGCCCCGCAAGGGACAGGGCTGGCTCTGGCTGCTTCCTCAAAGGCCGTAGTGCTGGAGGCTGCTGAGCCCCTCAGCGATGGTGGTGGCACCTCTGGGAAATGTGTTTAAGAAAGAGCAAAACGCCAGGAAGCGGGGGAGAGGAATTGTGTGAGAAGCCATCCTGCAAAAGACCGGGGTCAGTGAAGGAGGATGAATGTGGTGAGTCTTGAATTCCTGAGGTGAAGTTGGGTGGAAATATTACAGCTGCTTTTCTGAATGTGGCTGCCTGTAACTGAAGCTGTAATGTCATGTCCGCCATGTTCTGCAAAAAAGATAGGTCTAACACTACCTATGATGTACTTGTTTGGCAGATATGAACACAAGCCACTGTGACTGTTAGAATAACTCCAAAATCTGCAATATTCTGGATGTTGTGGTTCTTTCCTTCCACTTTCTGAAGTTTCTTCCCTGTTTCATGATACAACGTGTACTGTAATAGTGTGAACAGAGGAGTTCCTGACTTTTTAGCTCACAAACTGATATGGCTCTGGGTCCCAGCTGAGTCTTTAGTTCACTTTTAATTCTGCTCTATTTTGACACACTATATCAAGAAGCAGATGGAGACTTCCTTCCTCTTGGTACCTGAGATTCATGCAGCCAGCCTGCCTGTCTGAGCCCTTAGAATTGACTCCAGTTTTTTCTCCTTGTTCTCATTTCCTGCAAATTTACCTCTCCAAATTCCAATTCTGTTGCTTCTAGTAAATTAATCTTTCTGCCTTATTGCCCTGTCACTCTGTGTTTGGAGGTTTCTCCACTAGCCTTTTTGTTCTTTAAAATGTAGATGTCTTGCTGCTACTTTTAAGGCTCTCCATGGTTTATCCTTTCCTTTCTTATCTAATTGTACTACAAGGTTAGCTTTGACTTTCAGAGAAGGTGCTTTAAAGCTTCCTCAAGCGTTGTCTCTTGTCAGTGGAAACTCCCAGTTAATTTCCAGAAGTTCTCACTGTATCCCCTTTTCAGGTTCTCCTCCAACTTTACCTACTTCAGCATGTATTAAATAACCTGTTGAGCTGATTACACCAAGATATTGACAATTACATTCCCTGTTAAATGAGGACTGCTACCCCATACTTTGCTACTATCGCTTGTTTTGCTTCTGGGACTTTGTAGCAGCACCTGTGCAATTTTCTCTATGTACACGACGCCTTGTACAACTGTCTGGCTTGATCAGAGAATTTGTTTACAATCCCTTCAAAGTAATAGCTCAGAGACAGCACTGTTACTGTGTGCTGCAGTATGCTTAGCACAGGTTGTGTGGAAATGGTGGATGTCTGAAGTTGTGCTATTAAGGTGAATCTATCAAAATTTGAATGCCCTGCTTGGAGACTGAGAGCAGAGTATTTGATATTGTCTCTCATATCCGCTTGCTGTGAAAAAGGTGACTTTCAGTTGCATTACATGCTTCCACACAATCCAGAAAACCTTTATTTTCCCTTAGACGTTTTAATGAGCATGTTTAATATGTTAAATTTGAACTTTTTCACCTAAATTAAATAAAAAAAAAAATAGGGAAACAGTTTAAATGTAATCCTGCTCATTTTGACAGCTGGGAAAGCTTCAGAAGTACAGTAAATTTAAAGCAAGGATTATTAAAATATTGTAAAATAATGACACTTCAGAAATATTTACAGAGACTCCACTGAACAGACAGGCAAGCTTGCAAGGGTCATAAAATCTGCTATAGTCAGATCTGCTATAGTCAGATCTGTTTATAAGGAAAATATACGATATTTCAAATTAAATGGTTATTTTTTTAGGACAGGCTTGATCTTTAAACTTTTCTTTAGCAACAGAGTCTTTTGGGGTGTCAGGTACTCTACCCAACAAATACTTCTAGTATTCACTTAAATAGAAATAATATGTGAAGTTTTGTAGAACAACTTAGAAAACCAGTTGCAGTTGGAGTGCACATGAAGTCCTTTAACAGAATAAGGATTTAATAAATATTAATCACATGGTATACATTTGTGTTTGTCGTTTATGAGGAGGTCCACAGGAACTGAGACAAGTTTGGGCTTTCTTGGGAGCTAGAGAATAGAAAATACAGGTGAAAACTAAAGAAGGCCTCAATGTCCCCAGTGTTGGATAACCCTTATTGCAAAGGGGCCACAGATCACTCACGTACCAGCTATTTAGTGTGTGTGTGTGTCTGTGTGTAGGCAACATAGCCTGTGGGAAGGAGTAAAGAGTCAGGAACATCTCTGTGCATATAACTCTGATTAGTGTCAAGAGCAATTGGCAGTTTCGCTGGCAGAGCAAGTTAGTGTTGCCTTGAGCATTGCTCAGTTCTTGCAGCTCTGAAGTATTAGATGTGTCCAGTTGACATTGGAAGACTAGTATCTGCAGAGAAAAATTATCTTTGCTTTCCTAAGAGAGAAAACTAAAGCAGTACAGAGACACTGTTAGCATGATTAAGGTCTAAACTCAAGGGCCCAGGCTGCCTGATCTAATGGATCTAGTACTGAAATATGTTTGGCAAACTAAGTTGGGTGGACATGAAGAGGAATGTGCCTGAGGTGATGTATGGGATACCAGTGTAGGAATATCCTACCAGGGAATAAACTAGCTTGATTTGCCTGTGTGACACAAGTTTCGAAGATCTGTGTTGGAATACAAAATTTCATTCCACTGTTTATGGGTTTCCCCTGATTCACAACGTTCAGGCAGCTGCCAGGTTGTTATTTATGACAGTTAACTGCTTCCAAGTATTTCAGGAATTGCAGTAGGAAAGATCACTTAGTCAACAGTCTGGAAGGTGTGAATGCTAGTTGCCATCTACTTCTTGTTATTCTCATGTTCTCATGTTGCTGAGAAACTAGAGGGTTGCACTCAAAAGAATTGACTCCAAAGACCTTGACAAATTGTCATGTGCCACACAGAGCTTCATGTTGTTATAAGATGGTTAAAAGGAAGGTTGCCCTTTCTGTAGGTGTAACCCAGCCTTGCGTAATTCAAGGCTTAAAAGTGAAAAGAAGTGCGGATTCACTGCAGGAACAGTGATGCTGTGCTTTTTTTACAATTTGTATTTCTTCTTTCTCTCTCTCTCTTTTTTTTTTTTTTTTTTTAATATCTGACTTGGAGGTTTATGTAATTAAGTATCAGTTACTGGGACCCAAATGCAAATATTCCTGCATGTGTGCATCATGTGCAATTGTCCTTGAAAATGTAAAGACAATAGGTTGAAATAAAGGGAACTTATCTAAAAAACAGTAGCATGGAGGGAAGAAAACAAAGGCTTCAATGGATATAAAGTGTGGAAAGTACAAAAATATGTTGTTTTTTCCTTTTTTTTCCTCTGTAAACTTGGGTACAAAATATTTAAATAATGACCTATCATAAAGAGATATAAATAATTAATACAGAAATTTATTATTTTTTCTTGGTTTTAGGTGGTTGCTCATTTGATGAGCACTACAGTAATTGTGGTTATAGTGTTGCCTTGGGAACCAATGGATTTACCTGGGAGCAGATCAATACCTGGGAAAAGCCAACAATGGATCCTGCTGTCCCAACTGGTAAGTAAGAAGCCTCAACAACAGTGGGGAGATACTATTCTTTGAGAGAATCAGCTGTTAGCCCTCCATGGGTGTGTACTGGGTCTGGGTACCCACAACAATAGGGGTATAATTTTATTCAGTGATAAGATGACTTTTTTGTTCAAAATAATCTGATAACAGAATTCATAAACATGAGATGGCTTTTTACAACATTTGCCATTTGCTATCCTTGCTGAATCATTTTACACTCCTTATTCCTATTTTATTCTTGCATTTAAGAGAGAGGAAATGTTTCAGATATAATATTCTAAGGTTTGGCCAGCTTTTTGCATGTTTCAGGATCAGAATGGTGTATTATCTAGGGAGATGCATGTTTGAGAGGCCAGAAAAAGTAAAGCTTTGTAATGTCTGGGAATATCAGACCTTCCAGTCACCATTTGGCTCTTAACTGACTGTTTTAAAATCTAATTCTGAGAAAGAAAAGAAAATTCCTAAAGAATTAACTGTAGTAGATAGTGCTTGATTAGGCTGGTTTTCAGACAGTGAAATTTCCATATGCAAGAAAAACATTTCCAACAGAGAGAGTTACCAGAATATCTAGTTTGCTAACTTATTTTGAGAATGTCCAACAATAGTATAGTCTTCCATGTGATACTTGGAATATTCTCTGAAGAGCTCACAGTAATAGTAATTTCTAATAGTTTTATCTCTCATTGGAAGTTACCATTAAGCTGGGTGTATATGGGAATAAGTTCTCTAGCCTTAATAAAAGTTCTGTGGAATGTTTTGTTCACATTCAAAAAGAACTTGTTTTAAGAAAGCACACCAAAATTTTCTAAAAATCATGGTTTGTCTGTTCCTTGCCACCTAAAATAGCGGTGCAAGCCCCTTTAATGGACACAATGGCAAACAGACTTGACCAGCCAGTTAAGACTTTGATTTCAGTCCTGAGAAAGAAGTATTTGTTCTGGTTAGTGCGTTGCACTCTGAGAAGCATGAGCTACATGGCAGAACTGGAACATAATGTTGTTCAAGAGGTATTCTTATGCCTGTAATTATTGGGGTTAAGAGACTTGTAATTGCTAGCTGCCTGTTAAGTATACCATGTAGAGCTGATATAATAGCTCCCTGCCATAGCCATTGATAGACAGCCCAGTCTTCATCCCTGTATGCTTGTTGTCAGTAGAAAACAAGCTCACAAGATACCAGGCTAACTGTGGTTTCTTCATCACAAAAGGTTAGTTAAGTTGTGGTTTGGTTTTTTTTTTTTTATTTTATTATTGGAAATTGTTCGGAACAGGATCTTTCAAAGTCTGTAACACCTAGTACCACTTGATTTGGCTGTGGCATCCACAAAGAAGTTAACTGTGAAAGTTGCAGTTTTCTGGTCTTGTCTGTAAGAATGTATTTTATCATCCTGGATGTTGTTGCTTTTTTACTGATGGCAATTTTATCTCTATGGTTCATCAGCTTCTACCCTGTTGTGTCCTATTCTCTGTCCCTGGTAAAGACCTATCTAGTGACACATGACAGATCTTTGAATTGACTGATCCCAGAGCAACTTGAAGGAATAGGAACATACACAGTTTTCGTGCAATTTGGAAAGCAAGGAATAAATGGAAGGGCTTACATGGCTTGGACTGGATGAGTTCAATACTTTGTCAACTCTAAACGTTAAGGTAAACCTATCTTCCTGGCCTCCATATGAAGATATATTGTCATCTGAAGTACGCTGGAACCATGGAGAAATCAATAGACAAACAACAGGCTGGAATAGCATGGTAAAAAACAAAAACAAACCCACCACCAAAAAAACAAAAACATAAAACCAACCCCAAAACACTACAATGTAATTGTTAACAAGGCTTTCAGAATTATTTCTGCTAAAACTAAATAAATAGAGGTGTGTGTTTTCCCCCTTAGTACCTCATTCCATGATATTTAGTAGCACCAATAACTATACAAAGATGTTAGAGCTGCTGCAAACTTAATAAAGGTTAGACATCAAATAAGAAATACAGCAAGCGTTATTGTAGAGAGATGCAAAGGTAAAGCCGCCATCAACTTGGAATGTGCTGATAAATATTATCTAAAGAGATTTTAAGGGGTATAAGGGGAAATGACTCAGTTCCTCGTGTTACTAATTGATGACTTAGGACTATTCACACAGAACAAAAGGCGAAATCAGTAGGTAGAAAAAGAAGATTGACCACAGCAAATGTGTACAGAAGGGTCTAGTAAAAAAGCATGTTTTCAAGGTCTGTCCAAATCATGCTAACCTTGAAGTAAATTATAGTGGTCAATTAGACTCCCCAAAGCTAGCGGAGACGTTCAGAGCTATTATTGGGAGTCTGTATTGCTGGGATAGAATCCTAATGCATGTTGTTGGTATTGGTTACTCATTGAAAATCTGTTTTGTGAGAAGAAAAGATGTTTACTTAAAATTCATCTAGTGGCAAAACCAGGCAAATAAACTGATGAACAGCACGTTCCACTTCTGCAAGCAGGGACATCTTTAAAACCAGAGTACGAGAACATTTAGTGTTCGACTTTCCATTCTATTTAATTTCTCCACAGCAGCCGAAAGCAGCAGGGTGTAAATCCATTGAGCTGCAGGGTGTAAGAGGTGGTAACAAAGAGGTGTTCATGGAATCAGCATCTTCTGGTGGCCAGCTATAGCTAGGAAAGCTCCTTGGCATGAAGAGTGGTGACAGGACTGCATAGGGTTCTGAGAACACAAGCAGTAATGTAGATTTTCTTTATCAGGATGGTATTGTAGATACTACATTATTTTTGTAGCTGAAAATAGATTAAAATACTATATTGTGGAAATGGTAAAAACAAAAGGTGAGCAGGTATTAAGTTGGTTCAATGATACTAAGTCTGGAGCGCAGCTTGCTGGGAGATGTTGGCAAAACCATGGCCTGCTCCCACCCTGGTCAACCAGCCTACATTAACATTGCTGTCAGAGCTGTTTTCTTCTGTAAAATGTTATCGGTTTTCATAGGTACCAGCAGGTCCCTTTGAATTCACCAAGCCACAGAATTCTGTCCTCCTGAATACTAATGATAATATCTAGCACTTTTTACAGTATTTTTCATCATTAGATCTCAGAGTGCTCTTCAAAGGAGGTCAGTACCATGAATGAGAGCCTGAGTCTATAGTGCTGTGTGATTCTCTGCTGGCATACTGTTGCAAATCTCTCTGCCCAGGGATGACTTTCTGTCCTTTATTTTTTGAGTTAAAATGTCAAAAAAAAGGGGGGGGGGGGCAATTAAACTGCTCCATTAGCAATGTAGAAGTTTGTAGGCAATTTGGTTTACTCCATTGCTAAAAATTAAACTGTTTTCCATGAATTCTATGATTAATTCCTTAGGGCTGGAAACAGTGTTAATTGGGGAATTAAGAACCAGATGTTTATTGTTCTGAATAAGAGTTTCAAAAATGTGAAAGAAATGAATTGTAGGTATCGAATCCCCAGACTTCGGTGGGACTCTCATTCCACCTCCTTGCATAATAGCAGGAGCAATTATAATAAAATACTCTTTAACAGATGTGTGTTTACTTAAGCCTGAATACTCTCAGTGATGAGTATTCTACAGCCTTTGGGCTGCTTGTTCCACTCTTTGAGTTATAAAGGTTCTCAGACCTTCATTTTCCTTTTTAAGGCTTCATATCATTTTTTGTTCCATCTTTGACTAGAGAGAATAATCAGTTGTTGCTCTCTTTTATAACCTCTTTTATATAGTTGCATGTAGTTAAGTGTTTGTTTTGCAGAACTAAACATGACCCAGTCCTTTTAACCTTTCTTAATTCAGTGTCTTGTTTCCTTCCATCTACTCCTATGCCTTCAATCATTGCTTTCTTAGCTTTTTGGGGTATTTGCCTAAAGCTGTGTTACCAAGCAGGGATTCAATACTCTGCATGACAGTGCTGGAGGGACACAAGACTTTAATTCTGTTACCGAAGTTCAAAGTACAGCAAATAGATTTCTCCTGCTTTTCTTTATTTTCATCTTGCAGTTTTCATTCCTATTTTTCTGAAATATTCAGTCTTTATGTGCTGGTATTAGATGATGCGAGATGGACATGACCCTTTAGTTTGTGTTGTATCACAGAAGTTATTTCCTTGGTGGTAAAGTAGGGCCTGAGCTTTTCCGTATTTTTGAGGCAGATACTTGTTTAGTACAATCATGGGAATGTGTTGTGTTTAAACTAGCCAGGCAAAAGTACTGGCCTTATTTTTCATGTTACACCATTGCAGTATTCCAAGGACCCTGGACCTGCCTGCTCTTGGAGCGGTTGCAAGAATATTAATATTGCAAGTATTCAATATTTGCATGTTCAAAGTATTTTACCGTTATTTGCTAACTAACTCTAGTGGAGACTTAACTAGGGCTGACTGGACTGAAATAATTGCTTTAATTGTATTAAATACAATTCTACTCTGAATACAAAGCCATCATGCCATGTGCCTTTCTACAGCAGCACTCCTTGGCGTTAGATTTAGTGTTAATCTCAAGTTTGCTTTTCTAAAGTTTCCCTGTTCCAAGTTAGCAGATAAGCAATCAGCACATAGAGGCTGAAGATCTGGCCCCATCTGCCTGGCTGCTCACTTCCCTTCATGTATATAAACTGGCACTGAGTGTAAGTGCTACTTTACTTGTGTGTATGTATGTGTATATATACATAGATATGTATCTATATGCATGCTCCATATCACTGCTGTTTCTTGCTGAATTGCTTTCTAAGTAGACATCCTGTTTGTCTAGGAAACAGAAGTTTAGATATTATGAATTTAGGGATGAGCAAAATGTTTGGAACACATTATAGTATTTAGAGAGAGAGAGAGAGAGAGAATTAGAGCTACAACTCTCATATATTACTTAGCAAGTGCAAATTGCCTCACTTTGCTTGCTTATTCCAGAGAGTCCACAAATTTTCTGCAAAGAGAAGCAGGACCTGTTATCAACCAAAGGTATTTTTGTGGTAGAAATAGATGCATTTTTATCTTTTGAA